AGAAGGTCCTGGAATTAACAGAGATTAGGACAATGAAGTAGTTTGGACACAGTCAAAGACCTTGTCAGTAGTATAGCTGGAACTAGAATTCGTGTGTCTTGAAATCTTGTCTATTAGTCTTTCTGTTGTCTAATAATTATCCCAAATAAAAAGTTGTAACATTCATAGAAAAAAAATTAAATATTTCATGATGTTTAGTATGCCCATTAATTAGCTATGTCATGCCCACCAACTATGGATTCTCCCTAATACTCTTCCCTTCTCTTCTTTCCACTCCTCTCCTCCTCCTCCTCCTCCTCTTCCTCCTCCTCCTCTTCCTCCTCCTCCTCTTCCTCCTCCTCCTCTTCCTCTTCCTCCTCTTCCTCCTCCTCCTCCTCCTTCTTCTTCTTTTTCTTCTTCTTCTTCTTCTTCTTCTTCTTCTTCTTCTTTCTTCTTCTTCTTCTTCTTCTCTCTGTCTCTGTCTGTCTGTCTCTCTTCTTCTCTCTCTTCTCTCTTCCTTTGGTGATATCATGATATTCATGAGTTCAATTATCATCTCTATGTAGATGACTCCTTAGGCCAAATCTATATATCCAGTCCCAGGCTCTCTCTTGAACTCTAATCAGGGATTTCCAACACCGAATGAACATGCTGAACTGAATGTCCTGTAGGCATTTAAAACTCAAGGTCAAAGCTGAATGTATTATCTTCAGGCACCATTTGTCCTTTGTGCCTGGAATTCACTGCCTTTTCACTCCTGCCTTTCAGAATCCCTTTTTTCCCTTAAAAATTCAGATCAAACATGACTTTTTACACAGTCTTTTCTGATCCTTCTAGCTACTTGTAACCCCCAATTACCTCATACAAACATATGTTTTATACATTTTGTGTATTCTTATACATGGCTATTGTTCATTCTTATATACATTATTGCCCCATCAGCAGCAGCAGCAAACATTTACTAAGTACTTACTATGTGACAGATGCTGTTCTAAGAAATGTTTAAGAAGAAACAATCCCTGTTTCCAAGGAACTTACATTCTAATAGGGCAAGGCTACACATACAGAAGAAGAATAAAAAGGAGGTGGGAGAAAGTACCCACTTGGAGACATGATGGAGAAAGAAGTTTGGAGAGTCAGGAGAGAACCCTAAAAGAAATTGAATAAACATAACTAGCCTTGGTACTTGCTTTAAAATGGAGGTTCCAAGAAAAATTGGCCAATCAGAAAAAGGGACAAAAGAGGTGGAGTGATATTGCAGGGTGAGAAGGATGTTGGGTCATGGTGCAGAAAGAAGTCCAGAGCATTAGGAGCAGAGCCAAGAAAGGACTGCAGGAGTGAGATTCTCCCCATAGAAAATGAAGTCTTTGAGAGCAAGGATTATTGAATTTTGCTTTTGTATCCCCTGTAGTAGGTGTGCAATAAATGTTGAGTGACTATGCTAAGTAGAAGTGAACTGATTCAAAAATAATTGCAATAAAAAGAATTATATGAATTAATTCTTTAGTTTTTCATATCTCAATTGAGGCCAATGGGCACTCCCTCTCACCTTACCTTTATAGGTTTCACAGTACATGGAGTCATTAATAAAGAATGGGTTGGCATCCAGTAGAGCACTCAAGGTTCCAAGTTATTGCAGCATGAGCCAACAGGACAAACATTTATTTTTCCAAATGTACCTGAACATCAAGGGATCCAAAGCATAAACTCAAACGGGTCATGGCATTACAATATTCTATACTGCAAATTAATGAAGGGCTATAAAGAGAGACTTGGGATTTTGTGCCAGAAATCTTACAGGTCACTCCAACAGAGTCTCTCCACTGAGGCTCTAAGAAAAATAGACCGAGCAGAATGCTTTCATTCATTTTCCCTCTTGCCTGGCATTTCTCAAGGACAATGAGCCAAGCAGGGTCAATTAGCTTTGTCTAGGCTCCAGGGCACAATTGACAATAAATTCTAATACAACCTCTTCTAATCCAGATTGATTGGGAGCAGGCAAGAATCCAAATGTATAAACCCCTGATAATCCAGGGAGATGTCCTGGAACATTAGCAAAGCAGTCTGGATAAACCGGTGATATGTATCTGAGCGAGGTGTGAAAGTGGGGGGGGGGGTTGGTAGGGACAGGGAGGATGATAGAGAACTGATAAATGAAAGGGTGAGTTTTTTTTCACATTTGTAAATAAATATCTTAGAGATACCATAAGTTAACTGCTCATAAATCAGAATATGAGGGAATATTCCAATCACCTTAGATTCCCGTCGTTCGCATGTAACCTAGGTTTAATGTCTTATGACAGAGAGATGATGTAACCTGATCTTCATTGCCCTAGCATCCACATTCAATTATTCACAGTGCAATGTTCTCATTGGTTTCTATAGACCAAACTTTTCGTGGTTAGACTACTCTATTTGGGGTTAAACAAAAGGACATATTTATTTTTAGCCAATGATAGGAAATACTGTGATGGATGGCAAAAGGAAGTCTCCCTGTTCCATGGGTTTCTGTGCTTTCATTTTCTATTAATTACATCAGAACTTGGGCATCCTTTTCTTTTGCAGATTAAAGTGAAAGGAAAATTACACATAAAAAAGGAGTAAAATACCATTTAGAGATAGTGCATAAAGTGTTCAGTTATTGTGGGGAAATTTCTTGAATTTAATCAAATAACTGTTTAGTGGTTAATCAATTATTTTAAAATAATCGTTTGTTTGAATTTACCTGGGTTGTACATACACCCATTCAGGTCGCTGGGGGAATATAGATCTCACTGGAGGAGAACTGTGTTGATTATTTATGAGTTAGTCCTTTATGTTGTTCTGCATTCTGCCTGCAAGATGAAATAAGGCTTTCTTATGCTTGATCTGTTGTGTTATCCTGAATGCTCACGATGACTAGGAATCCTTTACTTAAACATAAGCTATTCTCTCAAGTTTCCAGAGGAAACCCTACATGGGGACCAAAAGAGCAAAGAGCTAAAAATCTGGAGTTAGTACCAAGATTACAGCATTTCAGACCTTGAGGTTCTAGATCTGAAGTTACATAGAAACAACATTTGGCATGTGTAATTGATATAGATATACTATTCACGTGCAATTTTTTCTTATGTGTTTATATAATATGAATGAAAACTTGGGAAATGATCTTCCTGAAATATAAATCTGATTATATCATTTCCCCCCCCCACTCAATAAGTTCTAGTGGCTCCCTATTACCTTCAGGATCAAATATGAAATCCTGTTTGACTTTTAAAGCCCTTCATAACCTGGCCCCTTCCCACCTTTCCAATATTCTTCACAATTTAGTCTCTTCTACATAGGCTTCAATCCAGTGACGCTGGCTTCCTTGCTGCACTCCATTTCCTTATTTTTAACATTTTCCCTGGCTGTCCCCCATGGCTAGAACCTCTCCTTCTTTATCTCTGCCTCTTCTACTCTCTGACTTCTTTTAAGTCTCAGCTAAAGTCCACTTTCTCCAAGAAGACTTTTCCAGTCCACTGGAATCTTAGTGCCTTCCCTCTAAGATTATTCTCACTTTTTTTTTCTATCTTTTGTTTATACGTAGTTGTTTGCGTGACCCCTCCCCATTAGACCGTGAACACCTTAAGAGGTCAGACTTAGAAAAAAAATGTTTTTGCCCGTCTTTGTATCTCTAGTTCTTAACATAGTTCTTGACAAATAGAAAATTCTTAATAATACTAGTTGACTACTTGACTATGAATTCAAATTAATGTAATTGGGAGGCTTGTTCATTTCCTAATTTTTTTTGCTATCATCCTCAACCCTACCCCCCACACACCAGCACCAACAGTACTCTGCCCCTCAGTACTTGGGCTCTCAAAGGTAAGCTTTAATTTTATCTTTCCATAAGCTAAGCTTCTGGGCCACTTCCTGGGCCATTTCCAAACCATACCTCTTCCCCTTTCTAACTTCTTTTTCATGTTTCTGTACCCTATTAGAATATAAGTTCTTAGAGGATAAGGATTGTCTGATTTGCTTGTATTCGTATGAGGTGTTCAAGGAGGACTGGCATCTCTGGCGTGAGGGCTTGCCAAGCCCTTTTCAGGGCTGCTCATATACTTTTGGTGCCCACTTGGCACTCAACTCTCTCACCTGTGGATCCAAGAAGCTGTAGGATGCCTAGCTGCCTCACCCTGGTAAGCTCTCTCAGTAGATGGCCCTAACTAGGTTGAGGATAATGAACAGCCCTCATATCCATCAGTGGGTTAGGAGGGTGTCTACCCTAAGCATGTGAAGATTTCCCCTGACTAAATGGTCAGTTGAGAACAATTTGTTCCAATGGTTATCAAAGCAGCTGAAGAAGACTCTGTGGAGTACTTAGAGCTTGGTCAGACATGGAAGATGCCAAGGTCATTGGTTGCATCCCAGGCCATCACCAGTCATCTGGACTTTTATCCTGCCACTGGACTTTGCTGAAGAGAGAGTAAAGCTAATGACTTTGTGCAACTCTGCCTCATTTCAATCCAATTCACTCACAAGTCAAGATATCACTCCATGATGTCATTAGTCTTCTTTGAAAATGAAGGACAAACAACAGGTTAGTCCAGTCCTTGATTTTAGTAAGCACTTAATAAATGCATTATCATTAGCATCCTTTCTTTAAGGTGCTAAGTATTCTGTGTTAGTCAAGTACACTTATTATTCTAATTCTCACTAAATGGAAAGTCCTTGATTGAAAATCCTACAGAACTCCAACCCAGTCACGTGAGAATCTTAAAAAGTAGAGACTCCACAGAATCCAATTGCAGCTCTCATCAGAGTCAACTGAAGACATTAGGCTTATTCCATGCATTTATAAACTCGATGCTCATTTGTAACAGACTTGCCTCATATTTTTTATTCAGCATCATCATATCTGGGCACTCCAATATTGTAGTCTCATGGCAAAAAAACCCTTGATAACCTCCATATCATGAATTAATAGTTTCTATTCTTACTTGATTTTCTTCTTTGGTGTAGTAACCTTTATTTTGCTCTTCCATATTAGGAATAAGCAGCCATCACAATGATATAATGAATAATATTTCTGTTTTTATTTGTTGCAATAAACCCTTTCCATAGCGGTTTCTAAGTGGATTAACATTGCTCTGTGCCCTCTGCATCATTTCCTTGTAAGACTACTTGTCCTCGATTGAAGGCTTCCCAGTACATTACCATTTATCTTCCTGGCAATTTGAACCCAATTTGTCCCCCTATTTTTGTGATTTCACTTTTGGTTTTATGTCGCTGTTCAGAATGCAGGATGACTTTTGGAATCACGCATCTCATAGAACATTGGAACACTCAATGCAGTGATCTACATACCAGGAAATTGCCAGGTGACATTGGACCCTAAGAATGAACTCTTGATTAACCAGAAAGATGGAGAAAAGAGAAGAGAAGGCATTTTGTGCTTCCCATGAAGATACAGGATCTTTCAAACAGCTTCCCTTCAGGAGCAGGATTCCTTAATGTTTGGTACCTCTGCCATCTGGTGGTGGACTTAAGATGCTCTAGAAAAAAATCAGAGAAAAGGTTTCTATTTTCTGTCGAGGGTCAAAGTAGAGGAGAGCCCCAATTCTTTGGGTTCTACCTTTTCCTATTGTTAATTTAGGAGTATCTGCTCATTCACAGTCAAGCCCATGCCCACCTATTGCAGCTGTCACTAAGAAGGATCTACAAAGACTTCATTTCTTTGCTGTAGTTTTCCTATCTTCAAAGTGACATGGGAAAAGGGAGCTGGAATCTTTTTCTGAACAAAGTCTGTAAGAAAAAAAAAAAGAAAGAAGTCTTTCATAACAGAAGGCATAAACAATGCAAATGTTAATTAATTTCTGAAAATCACTCCAGTCTTAGGATAACTCCAATTTTCTATTTGTTAACCAGATACTCAGAAAGTAGGGGAAAATAGAATGGATGCTTTTAAATTGAAAATTTGAATTGGAGGAAAGAATTAAAGAAACAGTCTTTTTATTTTGCTCTGATTAAACCATTGTATGTTTATATTTCATCCGACCAGTGGGCAGAGTTACCTCCCTGGTACAGGTGGAGGAATGGGCTAGCTCTGAAGTCAGAAGCCCTGGTTCTAATGCAGCTGTGCTACTTACTGAATGTGACCTTGGGCAAGTCACTTTATGTTTTGGGGGTTCAAATTCCTCTTCTATAAAATGACATGGTTGGCCCCAGTTGCTTCCAATGTCCTTTCAGTTTTAAATCTGTGATCATATGTCATTAAATCTCTCTTTGTTTCAGTTTGCTCATCTGGAAAATGAAGGCATTGGACTAGATGCCCTCTAATGTCCCTTCTGGCATTAAACCAACCAGGCAACAAGTATTCATTAAGTCCTTATATGTGCCAGGCACACTACGTGCTGGGATATGAATAAAAAGCAACACAAATCCACGACAACGAGCAGCAAAAGCTAAAGCCAGCAACCAAGCAAAACCCCAGTCCCTGCCCTCAAGCAGCTTACACTCTAGAGGGGAAGGCTACATGCAGATAAATAGGTAGAAACAAAACACATATGAAGACAAGATAACCATAGAGGGGGAAAGCCCGATCCCATGATTCCAAGTGAAAAGCATGACTGTTAAAAGTTACTGACAAAATGGGGGCAGCTAGGTGGCGCAGTGGATACAGTGCTGGCCCTGAAGTCAGGAGGACCTGAGTTCAAATCCGAGCTCAGACCAAACACTTAACACTTACTAGCTGTGTGACCCTGGGCAAGTCACTTAACCCCAATTGCCTAGAACTTAAAAACAAACAAACAAACAAAAAGTTACTGACAAAATGAGAGCATCCGTGACTCTCCTCTTCCCCCAACTATCCCAGCCCTTCACTTTACCCTTCTCTCCCCCGAATCCTAAAACATTTCTCTCCTTAGAAATGTTTTCATCCATCATATATAACAGTTTTATAGTGGTACTGCTACAAAAGAAAAAAGACCAGTGCCCAAAGGAAAAACCTATGTTTATCCAGCCATGACAGTGTACTTTTTCAGCTCCACCCTGTATTTATTCAAACGACAGATCCTAATGAAGTCAGTGGAGAAGTTTGAGTTGCCTACTTATTAAACTAACCAAAGACACACTTTTCAATGTTTTCCTTTGCTCTTTTAATTGTGCCCCAAATATATGATACGTGAAAATTTCATTCATTAAGTAAAGTCTTAACAGCAATGTATTTGTTGAGGGACCTGTCATTTCTATGGGAACTCCATCCCAATGAGCTGATTGCAGCCCTTCTGTCTCTTAGAGCTTTAGAGAGTTCTGGGCCTCAAAGAGGTTAAGTGACTTTCCAAGAGTCACACAGCTAATAAATAATAGAAGCATGATTGGAGCCCAAATCTTCCTTGATCCACATATTTCCTCACTGCTCTCTATTTGAGAAAATAGTAGTTATGAAATTGGAGAAAAGGTGATGTTATAGCCATTCAATTGTATCATCTTTGGAAATATCATTACATTTGGAATCACAGAGATGGGTTTGCATCCCAGTTATTGTTCAGTTGTATCCAAATCTTTGTGACCCCATTTAGGGTTTTCTTGGCAAAGATACTGAAGTGGATTGCCATTTCCTTCTCCAGCTCATTCTACAGATGAGGAGACTGAGGCAAACAGGGTGACTTGCCCAGGGTTACACAGCTACTAAGTATCTGAAGTCATATTGAACTCAAATGTTCCTGACTTCAGACCTGGTCCTCTATCTACTGTACCACCTAAGTTCCCTGGTACCAGACCAATCTCACAGAGACATTGAGAAGTCCATAATACATATATATGTATAAGTATGTATATATATATATATGAATACATACATATACACATATACATGTATGTGTTCGTATGTATACATATACACAAGCACATTTGTATGCATATGTATACATGTAGGTATACGTATTTTTGCCACTTACTAGCTGTGTAAGTTTAGAAAAACATAGCCTCTTTGACTCAGTTTCCTCCTTTTTAAAAAAAAGGGTAGTGATATTTATACTATCTGCCCCACAGAGTTGTGACAAAGGGAATTTATAATAGTAGCTGAACTTTAACATTCACATAGTACTTTAAAGTTCACAAACCACATCCAAATGTTATCTCATTTGATCCTCACAACAACGTAGGGGAATGGGTGCTAATATTATCCCCATTTGTACATGAGGAAACTGAGGCTAAGAGAAATTAAGTGACTTTCCCAGGGTCACAGAACATGTAAGTGTCTGAGATAGGATTCAAACTCAAGTCTTCCTGTCTCCAAATCCACTACTTTATATCTAGAATGCCATCTAGCTGCCTCTTTATAAACTGTGAAGAATTATATAAAGATTTCTCTTAGTTTACTTTGCACAGTCAAAAGAATAGCTTTCATGTTCTGTTAGATGAATCTGTTAGACAAATTAATAAACTGAGTCTGAGGACAAATCAAGTCATGTTTCTTTATTCCACTAAACTCATCAATACAGGGTTGGCCACCACATCCTGATTATCTATCTGTCTATCTATCTGTCTGTCTGTCTGTCTGTCTGTCTGTCTGTCTATCTATCTGTCTGTCTGTCTATCTGTCTGTCTGTCTATCTATCTATCTGTCTATCTGTCTATCTATCTATCTGTCTATCTATCTATCTATCTATCTATCTATCTATCTATCTATCTGTCTGTCTGTCTGTCTGTCTGTCTGTCTGTCTGTCTATCTATCTATCTGTCTATCTATCTGTCTGTCTGTCTGTCTATCTATCTGTCTGTCTGTCTGTCTATCTATCTGTCTATCTATCTGTATGTCTGTCTGTCTATCTGTCTATCTATCTGTCTGTCTATCTATCTATCTATCTATCTATCTATCTATCTGTCTGTCTGTCTGTCTGTCTGTCTATCTATCTATCTATCTATCTATCTATCTATCTATCCATCTGTCCATCTGTCCATCTGTCTGTCTATCAGCTACCTCTTTATCATCTGTTCATAATCTTTCCATTCATTTATCTGTGTGTGCATGTATATATATAGTAATTCTGACTAGAGCAAATCAGGAAATTGTGGAGAGTTTGGGATCTATGCCAGCAGAAGCAGGCCCTGCGTGGATCTCTTTATGTATTGTAATAGATCGCTAAGAAAGACAATGTGTAAACAATATTTCTAAGGAGTGATGGTAGATGGAAGGGCTTTTGGAGATCTTAGATTCTCTAAGATCCCTTTTAAGTATAATGTTCTAAGATTCTCAGTTTCACTTTTGGGATCTACCGGTTCACAAGTGCTCCATGAGGTAATTCCTTCCACCAATCAATGATGAATATGTCCATACCTAATGCCTGCCTATCCCAGGTCCCTTTATCCAGGACCTCCTACAAATCTGCTGTGGACTTAATCTGCTCATATCCTTTCTCATGTTATCTTCACTTTATGTGGATACTAGTAGAGTCCCTGGACCACCTATAGGCTAGCCTTCACTTGCATCATGGGACCAGCTAATTTTTTTAAAAAATCTTACGCTTCTCTGATAGTAGCCTCTACACCACTTCCTCTGTATAATTCATTGTTTGTAATGAGTCACAACCTGTTCACACCTACCATGCACTTGTCCATTGTCCTCTGGCTAATTCTCAACATCTTTTTTTCAGAGTCTGTAGAAGTGATTTGAAGCTATACATCATCACTGGAAGAATGTTGGTGTACAAAGGATAGGCTTTTATTTTTACCCAAGGCAATGCAATCTTCTCTCCTCTGTTTAAATCTGCTCTTCTCAGTTCAATTCTGGACTGAGCTTTTTGTCCAATTCACAGCAATTAATCTAATATATGTGTGCAAATGAACTATGGATTTTCCAATCAACTGCGTATCAGAGTCTGAACAATAAGCATTCTCTAACCGTGAACCTCAGTTGCCTCATCTATAAAATGGGATAATAATAGCACCTATCACAGAGACATTGAGAAGTCTATAATGTGCATATACAGATATCTACATATACACTTAGATATCGATATAGTTTTGTAAACCTTAAAGTGCTATATTTGATTATTTTATTAGTATTATTATTCATCCACTTTGTTTTATCTGTGTGGATAGTTAGGATGAAATAATGTGAATGATTAGGTTTCTTATTTAGGAGGCTCTGTAATTTTATCTGCAAACAAGAGCACCTGGAGGATCTCACCATCTGTAGGGAACCCATAGTCCAGGCACAGGGCATATTATTGATTACATTATATGTTTTAGCTCATTTTTCTTTCTTTCTTTCTTTCTTTTTCTTTCTTTCTTTCTTTCTTTCTTTCTTTCTTTCTTCCTTTCTTCTTTCTTTCTTTCTTTCTTTCTTTCTTTTTTCTTTCTTTTTTCTTCTCTTTCTTCCTTCCTTCCTTCCTTCTTCTTCCTTCCTTCCTTTCTCTTCTTCCTTCTTCCTTCTTCCTTCCTTCTTCTTCCTTCCTTTCTTCTTTCTTTCTTCTTTCTTTCTTCCTTTCTTTCTTCCTTCCTTCTTCTTCTTTCTTTCTTTCTTTCTTTCTTTCTTTCTTTCTTTCTTTCTTTCTTTCTTTCTTTCTTTCTTTCTTTCTTTCTTTCTTAAGCATAGTTGGTTCCAGTGTGTCCCAATGGCAACCAATTGGACTCCACTATGGTTTAAAAAAATAAAGGAGACACACAGGCCAAAATCTACACTGCTTTTCTTTGAGATTAATAGTTTATTATTTTTCTAAAATAAGCATTTGATACTCCAAAACTGAGGTTTTGACAATTTTTTTTGTCATATCTTTAGCTTGTGGATGAATAATCATGAT